ACTAGTTGCACAGGTCTGGGGACTAGTTGCACAGGTCTGGGGACTAGTTGCAGAGGCCTGGGGACTGGTTGCACAGGTCTGGGGACTAGTTGCAGAGGCCTGGGGACTAGTTGCAGAGGTCTGTGGACTAGTTGCAGAGGTCTGTGGACTGGTTGCAGAGGCCTGGGGACTAGTTGCACAGGTCTGGGGACTGGTTGCACAGGTCTGGGGACTGGTTGCACAGGTCTGGGGACAGGTTGCACAGGTCTGGGGACTGGTTGCAGAGGCCTGGGGACTGGTTGCAGAGGCCTGGGGACTGGTTGCACAGGCCTGGGGACTGGTTGCACAGGCCTGGGGACTAGTTGCAGAGGCCTGGGGACTGGTTGCAGAGGCCTGGGGACTAGTTGCAGAGGCCTGGGGACTAGTTGCAGAGGCCTGGGGACTGGTTGCAGAGGTCTGGGGACTGGTTGCAGAGGCCTGGGGACTAGTTGCAGAGGCCTGGGGACTAGTTGCAGAGGCCTGGGGACTAGTTGCAGAGGCCTGGGGACTAGTTGCAGAGGTCTGGGACTGGTTGCACAGGCCTGGGGACTAGTTGCACAGGCCTGGGGACTGGTTGCACAGGCCTGGGACTGGTTGCACAGGTCTGGGGACTAGTTGCAGAGGCCTGGGGACTGGTTGCACAGGTCTGGGGACTAGTTGCAGAGGCCTGGGGACTAGTTGCAGAGGCCTGGGGACTAGTTGCAGAGGCCTGGGGACTAGTTGCAGAGGTCTGGGGACTAGTTGCAGAGGTCTGGGGACTGGTTGCACAGGCCTGGGGACTAGTTGCAGAGGCCTGGGGACTAGTTGCACAGGCCTGGGGACTGGTTGCAGAGGCCTGGGGACTAGTTGCAGAGGCCTGGGGACTGGTTGCACAGGTCTGGGGACTGGTTGCAGAGGCCTGGGGACTAGTTGCAGAGGCCTGGGGACTAGTTGCAGAGGCCTGGGGACTAGTTGCAGAGGCCTGGGGACTAGTTGCAGAGGCCTGGGGACTAGTTGCAGAGGCCTGGGGACTAGTTGCAGAGGCCTGGGGACTAGTTGCAGAGGCCTGGGGACTTGCCAGGTTTGTTTTGGTTACAAACTTATCAATATCTGTGTTGATTGGTTTGATCTGTAGGTTACCGTGGATACCTCTGACCTCCCTGACCCGTGACGTTGAGACCCCTCTGACCTCTGACCTCGCTGGTCTGAGATCAGCTCACTTGTCCACGCCCAACAGAGTAAAGGATGATGGGAAGAAGAAGTGACCGTGGAGGAGGCTCGTCTATCTGAGTGCAACGCCGATAGAGGAGGAGAAGAAGAGTCAGATAGGAAGCAGCCAATCAGAGTGAACTTCAGAGACCGGAGGGCGGGTCCTTATCTGATTGGCTGATGGGCTACAGAACAGCGTGTGAGTGTGTGTGAATGGATCCGTGTTACCATGACATTACCATGGTGACATCACTCGGAGCCAACATGGCCGACGCAGCATGAACTCTGTTGCTGCTCATTACTGATGCCGTGCATCGAGCTTCACTTCCTGTTTAGTACCTGTTTACCAAGGCATGCTGGGAATCCACTGCAGCCACAGAGGACCTCAGAAAACCAGTACAGACCAGCAGGACCCAGAACAGGTCTAATGTTTTGTAATCAGAGGTAAATTATTTTAGTGCAGATTGTTAAACAGCAATTTAATGTTTGGACTATATTTCACATTACTAGTAACAGACTGACGATGGTCCTGATTCAGCTGCAGGTGCGCCTGCCGCTCAGCTGCAGGTGCGCCTGTCGCTCAGCTGTCGCTCAGCTGCGGGTGCGCCTGCCGCTCAGCTGCGGGTGCGCCTGCCGCTCAGCTGCGGGTGCGCCTGCCGCTCAGCTGCGGGTGCGCCTGCCGCTCAGCTGCGGGTACGCCTGCCGCTCAGCTGCGGGTGCGCCTGCCGCTCAGCTGCAGGTGCGCCTGTCGCTCAGCTGTCGCTCAGCTGCGGGTGCGCCTGTCGCTCAGCTGCGGGTGCGCCTGCCGCTCAGCTGCGGGTGCGCCTGCCGCTCAGCTGCGGGTGCGCCTGCCGCTCAGCTGCGGGTGCGCCTGCCGCTCAGCTGCGGGTGCGCCTGCCGCTCAGCTGCGGGTGCGCCTGTCGCTCAGCTGCGGGTGCGCCTGTCGCTCAGCTGTCGCTCAGCTGCGGGTGCGCCTGTCGCTCAGCTGTCGCTCAGCTGCGGGTGCGCCTGTCGCTCAGCTGTCGCTCAGCTGCAGGTACGCCTGTCGCTCAGCTGCAGGTACGCCTGTCGCTCAGCTGCAGGTACGCCTGTCGCTCAGCTGCAGGTACGCCTGTCGCTCAGCTGCAGGTACGCCTGTCGCTCAGCTGCAGGTACGCCTGTCGCTCAGCTGCAGGTACGCCTGTCGCTCAGCTGCAGGTACGCCTGTTGCTCAGCTGTCGCTCAGCTGTCGCTCAGCTGCAGGTACGCCTGTCGCTCAGCTGTCGCTCAGCTGCAGGTGCGCCTGTCGCTCAGCTGTCGCTCAGCTGTCGCTCAGCTGTCGCTCAGCTGTCGCTCAGCTGCAGGTGCGCCTGTTGCTCAGCTGTCGCTCAGCTGTCGCTCAGCTGCAGGTGCGCCTGTCGCTCAGCTGCAGGTGCGCCTGTTGCTCAGCTGTCGCTCAGCTGTCGCTCAGCTGCAGGTACGCCTGTCGCTCAGCTGCAGGTGCGCCTGTTGCTCAGCTGTCGCTCAGCTGTCGCTCAGCTGCAGGTACGCCTGTCGCTCAGCTGTCGCTCAGCTGCAGGTGCGCCTGTCGCTCAGCTGTCGCTCAGCTGCAGGTACGCCTGTCGCTCAGCTGCAGGTGCGCCTGTCGCTCAGCTGTCGCTCAGCTGCAGGTACGCCTGTCGCTCAGCTGTCGCTCAGCTGCAGGTGCGCCTGTCGCTCAGCTGCAGGTGCGCCTGTCGCTCAGCTGTCGCTCAGCTGCAGGTACGCCTGTCGCTCAGCTGTCGCTCAGCTGCAGGTGCGCCTGTCGCTCAGCTGTCGCTCAGCTGCAGGTACGCCTGTCGCTCAGCTGCAGGTGCGCCTGTCGCTCAGCTGTCGCTCAGCTGCAGGTACGCCTGTCGCTCAGCTGTCGCTCAGCTGCAGGTGCGCCTGCCGCTCAGCTGTCGCTCAGCTGTCGCTCAGCTGCAGGTGCGCCTGTCGCTCAGCTGTCGCTCAGCTGCAGGTGCGCCTGTCGCTCAGCTGTCGCTCAGCTGTCGCTCAGCTGCAGGTGCGCCTGTCGCTCAGCTGTCGCTCAGCTGCAGGTGCGCCTGTCGCTCAGCTGTCGCTCAGCTGCAGGTGCGCCTGTCGCTCAGCTGTCGCTCAGCTGCAGGTGCGCCTGTCGCTCAGCTGCCGCTCAGCTGCAGGTGCGCCTGTCGCTCAGCTGTCGCTCAGCTGTCGCTCACTGAGTGTAAACAGTCACCTGTCAGAACTAGTTTGTAACCTGTTGGATTTAGAGGGACGTTATATCAGGGTTACTTCAGCACAGCGGTGAGACGGGTGAGACGGTGTCAGTGAGAGGAAAGACGAGTGGTTCCACCCCAGAGTGGATTATAGTTTAGTTTTATTGCTGAAGAAAGTTCCATTTTTCTTTGATGCAGTGGCCCCTCGAGGAAAGTTTTATAGAATGTCTCTTCTGTCAGTAAAGTTAGGGTGAACCTGTGGCCCCTGAGGGCCTCTGAGGCTCCTGAGGGCTGACGTCAGATTAACAGATCGGGGACGACCTGAGGAAAATCTGAATAAACTCAAGTAAAGAAATAAATTTTAAAAACAGATGAATGGCTCATGGTCCAGGTCTGATTAGAGACCAGTAGAGACCAGTAGGGACCAGGTCCTGGCGGTCTGGTGAGTTCCTCTGTGGCTGAAGGTTTTCAGTGTGGACAGAATCCATCAGTCATTTTGATTCATTTGCACAGTTTGAATGTTAAAGTGTGAAAATAAAAAATATAAAGAAAAGGTTTCATTTTTATTCGATCGGATGAACTCAGAGAAAACTGAACCTGCAGATCTTTACCGAGCGTTCAGTGAACTCCTCTGATCTTTAAATAAGTACGGTGGTGAACATAGGTGTCATTTACGCTGGGGACGCGGGGGACATGTCCCCACCACATTTTGAAAGCATTTGCTAAACGTTTTCTGCAAATTAGCTCGCAACAAGAAATGTTTAGGTTAACTTGCACAACAGGAATGAATGAATAAAATGAAACAGATCTGCTTTGTCCAAAAAGTAACAACAAGCTGCTGATTACGGCATTATATTCAGTAATATTTGTATATTCTGAATTAGCACCGGCCACATGAATTTGAAAAGGAAAGACATTTCCTCCATAAATTTGTGCAGAAAATGTCTCTAGAATGCAAGAAATTAAGAGTTTAATGCTCAAAACCATCTGGGGGAGGAACCCCAGACCCCCCAAAATCCAGTAGCCTTTTTCATCAATATATATTTCTTACAAATAGCATTGAAGTCTGTTGTGACTCCAATTTTGTGCATCATCACGTGTCGTGGAGTGTTTCGTCACACAATATGCCGTAAGTCATCTAGTCTGCCGGAAAGCCAGAAGAAGAACAAAAAGAAGCAGCATGTGGTTTATACGGTCCTGGATCTGAACACAGACCCCAGGAGGACTCAGGTGCAGCAGGAGGACTTCATGTTCTGGTTGGGGGCGGTAATGCGCCTACAAGCTGCTCGCAGCCGCCGTCTAACAGCAGAAGAAGAAGCAGCAGCTGGTGTTCGTCTCGTCGGCTCCAAACTTTCATCAAACTTTAACAGAAACTTTTCGTTTAAACACCGGGACCAGAAGATTTCAGCGACAGAACCGGGCCGGTTCAGCGGGACACGGTGAGTTACTGCGGGTTCGGGTCTGTAGACCCGGTACCGGTGCCGTTAGTTACTGTAACCCTGTTAGCTCTGCTAGCAGGTGAGCTAACAGGTGAGCTAACAGGCTAACAGTGATTTAAACTGCAGGGAAACCCGCTGGACACGCGCGGAGTCACGTGCGCGCGTGTTTATCTGTAGATTCAGATATTTCTTTCTTCATCAGCTGTGATAAAAACATCAGATTTGCTCTGAGAAAGTGAAAGTGAGTCCTGCTCAGTGTCCACAGATACAAGGGGGGGGGGGGCTGTATTAAAATATAGAACATATAAAATAAAATAATAGTTGTTTACAGACAGAATGAACCTGTGTCTACATTCACAAACCAACACTTTTCCATCGTTTGTCTTTAAATACTGATTGAAAAGTTTTCAGCCACATTAAAGTGTTTCCGTGTTGTCCAGCAACTGTCCAATCACAGCTCGGGGGCGGAGCCAAGGAGCTGCACGCCACAAACTGTTCAACTAGTTAAATACAGTAAACAGGAAATGGATTTAACAAATGGTTGTAGTTTGAGACCCCGAGACCTCAGACCCCGAGACCTCAGGCCAGACCCCGAGACCTCAGGCCCCGAGACCTCAGACCCCGAGACCTCAGGCCCCCGAGACCTCAGGCCAGACCCCGAGACCTCAGGCCCCGAGACCTCAGGCCAGACCCCGAGACCTCAGGCCCCGAGACCTCAGGCCAGACCCCGAGACCTCAGGCCAGACCCCGAGACCTCAGGCCCCGAGACCTCAGACCCCGAGACCTCAGGCCAGGCTCTGAGACCTCAGGCCCCGAGACCTCAGACCAGGCTCTGAGACCTCAGGCCCCGAGACCTCAGGCCAGGCCCCGAGACCTCAGACCCCGAGACCTCAGGCCAGGCGGTCTCAGACATTAATATTAATATGAAATATAGATAATATAGAGTGAAATATAAAAAGTCAGAGTTTGCAGAACTTCAGGCAGCGTGTTATGGATCTGAGCTCAGCTGTTCGTCTATTGCAGCTCCGATCGTCCGTTCTGTCCATTTATCGTTCTCACATTTAAAGAGAAAACAAATCGTCAGCGGGCCCCGCCGCCGCAGGCCCCCCGCCGCCGCAGGCCGGCACTCATCAGAATCTGCGTCGCTTCAGAGGGAGGCGTCCCATTTCTGATGTTCAGCTCGTATTCCATTGTTGTCGTCCTCCTGCTCTGTGATTGGTCGGCTGGCAGCTGGATGGTCCCGATTGGACCGTGGAGGTCAGTAACAGTTTCTTTGTGTCTGTGTTCTCAGATCAAATGTTTTTCCTGAAGAGTCGTCCTGCAGCTCTGCAGCTCTGCAGACTCTTTTCTGCCGACTCTTTACCGACTCTCACTCTGTTCACCAAGGTAACCGCAAACCTCACCCGGACCCTGACTCCGGGGCCCGGGGTCGTCCTTTTCGCTGACAATCTGTGTACCAGTGTGTGACCAGTGGTCACATGACTCCTCCTCTAGAGTCACAAGGTTTAAGGACTGATTTTAGGGTTTTGAGAACCAGGTCTGGGCCCCGTCCCTGTGCAGCCCTGCAGACTGTCCCGACTCAGCAGCTTCAGCTTAGCTGCTATTTAGGAACCAGGTCAGCCAGAAAAATGTGAACTTTCCACTGATTCTGGCGCAGTGGATAAGACACAGGCCCTTGGTGTTCAATCCACTAATGTGTCCCTGAGCAAGACACTTTAACCCCTCGTTGCTCCAGAGGCGTGCGACCTCTGACCTCTGACATGTCGCTTTGGATAAAAGCGTCAGCTAAATGAATAACTGTGATGTAATGATTCCACTTTAATGAATAAAGTAAAGATAGAAACAGCTGTTAAACTTCTGTTACTGAAGTACTTCCTGTGAGTATGATCAGTGTACTAACATGAAGTACTGACGTGTTCTCTGCAGAATCCGTGTCCTCTGTGTGACGAAGCTAAAGATGTGCTGGAACCGTTCCGACACCGGGTGAGCTCACGTGTTCACGCTCTTCTTCAGTGTTTCCTGAGCGCCACCTGCTGCTCAGCACGGTCCTCCTGCCGTTTATCAGGCTTCTCAGAGTAATTCATGAAATTTACTCCGACTTCCAAACTCAAGTCTTAAAGCTGAGAATCTGTCGTTTTAGGGTTTTATCAACGAGGTTTTTGCAGAGCAAGCTAGCACACGGATTATAAGAACGCTTTCATAGTCTAACGTTACGTGTTGTTGAACTTCGTATTGTTGACTGAACTGAGAAGGTCTGAACAAGACGAGCAGTTTCAGTTTCCCTCGTAAAGCAAACGGTCAGTCTGACGATGTTCTAACCACGGAGTCGATCACTCAGTCATCTGTTCCCGTCGCCTTTTTCAAGGAAGCTGCTCCTACAAATATCTGCGCCATCGATTCTGTAAAATCAGCGTCACTGTAACCAGTAGAACGCGTCGCTCGCCTCAGCGTCACATCTACTGCACTCCAGATGTACATTAATCTAAATGCAGCACTGCAGACGATATTTTGTCCTTGTAAAGGTAAAATATTATTATAACAATTTCATAATGCGTTTAAAGAGCACTTTTCATTCCCAAAGCAGTAACTGCAGCCTGCTGGTCCTACCTGGACATGCAGTCTGCCAAAATACGTGTCCCCGTCCATAACGCACAGATGAAGTATTTTGTTTTAGGTGTACTTCACATCAGGACTAATAACGGGGCCGAACATGGAGCCGTTTGTTGTTTCCTAGAAAAGTTATAGTGGGAAACAAAAAACAAAGTGGGATCCAGAGAAGGTCTCGGACACCAGAGCTTCTGCTGTTCATGAAGTGCTGCAGGATGTCCTGTAACCTGAGCTAAAGTTAACAGGACGGCTTTTTAATGTCTTATGTCATTTAATAAAACTGTAAGTTACTGAAACATACGAAAACATCACATTATAAACTAAACAAGACATTTAGAAAGCTTAAACATCACCTTTGTCCCTTTTGTCCCAGATTGAATGGGCCCCTCTGACAAAACTATTGGCCCCAGCCTGGCCCCCTCAGTAAAAAAAAAATATATATATTATATAAGTCCCATTGAGACACAGTCTCTTTTACAAGGGAGGAAGTAAAACAACTTTTCAACCATGAGCTGAAAAACTTACAACCGTAAATTAAAATACAATCCAAATTTACACAAAGATATTTACATAGACAAAAATGCAAAGAGTTTAAATATGTAAAACAAAGATTAAATATTCTACCTGTCGTTGATTAAAAAACAAGTGCAGATGTCCGTCAGTGTTTGAGGCCTCGACCAGAGTTTTTCCTCACAAACACGCTATCAGGCGATGTCAAGAGCACGCCAAACCACCAGGCGGCGATATGACGCTAACCGTAAAGCCACGTCGGCCAATCGGAGCCTAATAAAGGGGAAGTGGCGCCCAATCTGACATCAAACACAGCGGGTAACGGCGCACACTCTGATGTCGTGAGGCAAAAGCCCCGGTTTTACTGTCCACACGTCAGAACTGCAACCGGCGTTTCTGAAAATCTAATTCTGAGAAGCTTGATAAATCCGGCTCATCGAGTTCCTTCATTTCTACAGAACTTCATGTTGAAGGAACGCAGAGAGAAGATTCAGGGTTGTACTTCGATCGGAGACGTGTCTCGCTCTGACTGTGTGTCTCTGTCAGTTTGTGTTGCAGCAGGTGGACATCAGTCTTCCTGAGAACAGACACTGGGCGGACAGGTACAGGTGGGACATACCTGTCTTCCACCTGAACGGACAGTTTGTGATGAAACATCGAGTGGACGTGGTCCTGCTGGACAAACTGCTGCAGGACGCTGAGACACAGAAACCATGACGATCTGATTAATTTAACCTGTTTAACAATCAATAAATGTGTGTGTACAGCTGCTTCTTCTTCTGTGGTTACTGCGGAGGGTCAACGAGCCAATCAGAACAGGGTGTGAAGTCAGGGTCTGATGCTGCGTTCAAGGCAACACCGAACTCGTAAATTTCCCACCTCCAACTAGAAAAAGCACCATGAACGCCACCTGAAGTCTCTGAGAAACCATCTGCCCCCCCCCGACGTCACGAGAGGCAGCTGAGTGAAGCTCGCGCTGTAAACAACCACCAACTGAAATGATGCATCGAAATGAATCCCAGTCACACCTGTGTTGTCAGGTAGCTTCTTCTTCTGTAAACCACCTGAAGGTCGTTATTCAGGAAAAGGTGAAAACATCAGTAGTGACTGATGAACACAGGGAGCGAGTTGGGGTCATTTTCAGTTTGACCTTTTGAGTCAAGGTCACTGCTGAGGGTTCACCTGTGTCCACCTGACAGACGTCACCGTCAGCCATGTTTGTAGTTCACTTTCTGCGTCATGAACCATCATGCACCTGGAACGCTTTGAGGTCAGAGGACGAATATTTCCGAGTTCCGAGCAGTCTTGAACGCAGCATTAGTGCGTCAACAGAGAGGGTGGTGCCAACGTTACTCTCTGCCAATCAGGTTAGAGGATAATTAGTGATGTCACTGTGATGTGAAGAAAAAACGAGCCTCAAAACCTTGAAAACCAATCAAATCAGGAGCTCAAATGATTTCATGTTTAAAAAATGTAGTTTGGTGCAGTGAAACAGAAAAATGTCAGAACTTGGATCAAACTGCACAGAGAGAAGTTCCACTGCACATAAATCACTCGAATATGAATATTTATATTATAATATATAAAATAACCAGACAAAATATGAAGATGGAATGAAACACAAATTGAGAATAATTACAATAACGAACTGAAGTAATGAAGTTTAATTTGTGTGAAACTTTTCATATCTCTGATTATAACCGACACATAATCAATAAATAATCTAGACATTTACTGAAATGGAAAAAAAAAAATCAGTTCTGCTGCTGGTCAATGACAAACAAAGAAAAACAACCTGAAACCTGACTCACCTGATGCTGTGAGCTCATCAATTTTTAAACTGCTCCTTGTTCAGAGTCTCTGGATGTCGGCCAATCACAGCCCTCCTCCACCTGTGTGACCTGGAAGTGCTGTGGTGCGGTGTAGTGTGTGTGTGTGCTGGTTGTCATGGAGACGGTCAGGTGTGTTTTCAGTCAGGTGAATGTGTGTTGATGGCGTCCAGCAGCCGAGTTGAAGATGTTCAGTTTGCTCTGCAGAGAGCGAAGAAGAAGATCAGCAACCTGCAGCAGCAACTGAGCAACAGGTCAGATACCATTTAGCTTGAACCTTTACACCCGCAACGACAACCGCAAACAGAAGTGTTCCATTTAGCTTGAACCTTTACACCCGTGTGATTGTTGAGACATTCCAACACTCTTGTTTTTGGAAACGTGAAACAGTCCTACACAGAAACTAGATTTGGGCGGTTGGACGAATATACCGGCAATCGATTGGTCTGCCGCCGCAGGGCAGGCAACAGGTTCAGGGTGTGACGGTCCTTCTAAATACCTCGATAGACCCTGATTCAGGCCGGGCCTGGACTCAGGCCTGTGAGTGTGACCTGGATCTGATGGTGTCAAAAATTAAGAGCATGAAGGAATGCTGGGTAACGTGACTGAGCACAGAGGCATGCTGGGTAACGTGACTGAGCGCAGAGGCATGCTGGGTAAAGTTTCACAGCGTGGTTCAGATTAAACAGCCACTAAGCTGCAGGAACCATGTGACCTGCAGGTCATCAGATGTACTGACTGACTGGAGATCAGTTTAACGGTTTCTGCTGAACCGTACTGGTCTCCAGCAGGTGAGTCTCTGTGTTTACTGGTCTGACTGGAACCAGTCTAAGTTCTGTGTGTGAACAGCTGCTCTTTAAACCTGCTGCTGCTGTTTGAATCCTCCAGATGTGTCTGATAAACTGATCCAGGATCAGGTCTCTGGACAGGTGAGAGTCTCTGACGTGAAGTGTTTCATGTTTTCAGAGAAACCAGTTCAGAGAGTCCAGTGGAGACCAGTCTGTCAACATGGACACACAGCAAGGAGTTCAGGGACTCTCTGGTGGACATGTACACAGGTAAAATACTACTACTACTACTATAGTACTAATATTAGCACACACAAACAGCACTCACAGGTTCATCGGTGCACTGGCTCATTCACGTGTTAAAATGTGTGAACGTATTTCAGCAGTCAGTTGGGAACAAACTGTTCAACAGTCACCAGACGGCAGAAAGTTCCTTACCTAAAGGGGGGCAGGAGGCCTCGTGGGTCACCTGAACCCTAATTTGTCACAGACTGGTCTGTTGTGGGTTAGTGAGTTTCTCCTGGTGCAGTATGATGCTGCGGCCGTAACGTGGCTCAGTGAGCATTACTACTGAAGGACTCGTGTTGCGTTCACTGTCAGAATAATAAGTCCCTGTTTATGCAGCGTTACATCAGAAGTACAGTAACTGAGGATTGTTAGAGACCGTGAGGACCGAGGACAGGATAGAGACAGGGTGTGATCCCAGAGTTGTGTCTGAAAGTTACAAAAGGAATATAGTGTGTGTTGATTTGCAGTGTACAAGCAGACATGAATGTTGTAATGAGTCAGTCTGTCCAGCAGGTGGAGCTGTGCTCCTTCACACAGCTGAACATCACCAACATACAGAGTGGAGGTCAAAGGTCACAGCACACACAACTGCTGCTGCAGGACTACTAGTACAAATAATACTGCTAATACTACTACTAATACTGTTACTACTACTACTGATGCTGTTACTACTACTACTGATGCTGTTACTACTACTACTAATACTGTTACTACTACTACTGATACTGTTACTACTACTACTGATACTGTTACTACTACTACTAATACTGTTACTACTACTGATGCTGTTACTACTACTGATGCTGTTACTACTACTACTGATACTGTTACTACTACTACTAATACTGTTACTACTACTACTGATACTGTTACTACTACTACTAATACTGTTACTACTACTACTGATACTGTTACTACTACTACTAATACTGTTACTACTACTGATGCTGTTACTACTACTAATACTGTTACTACTACTACTGATACTGTTACTACTACTACTAATACTGTTACTACTACTACTGATACTGTTACTACTACTACTAATACTGTTACTACTACTAATGCTGTTACTACTACTACTGATACTGTTACTACTACTACTACTAATGCTGTTACTACTACTACTACTGATACTGTTACTACTACTACTACTAATGCTGTTACTACTACTACTACTGATACTGTTACTACTACTACTACTACTACTAATGCTGTTACTACTACTACTACTGATACTGTTACTACTACTACTACTAATGCTGTTACTACTACTACTACTGATACTGTTACTACTACTACTGATACTGTTACTACTACTACTGATACTGTTACTACTACTACTGATACTGTTACTACTACTACTAATACTGTTACTACTACTACTAATACTGTTACTACTACTACTGATACTGTTACTACTACTACTAATACTGTTACTACTACTACTAATACTGTTACTACTACTACTAATACTGTTACTACTACTACTAATACTGTTACTACTACTACTGATACTGTTACTACTACTACTACTGATACTGTTACTACTACTACTGATACTGTTACTACTACTACTAATACTGTTACTACTACTACTGATACTGTTACTACTACTACTACTAATGCTGTTACTACTACTACTAATACTGTTACTACTACTACTGATACTGTTACTACTACTACTAATACTGTTACTACTACTACTGATGCTGTTACTACTACTACTGATACTGTTACTACTACTACTACTAATACTGTTACTACTACTACTACTAATACTGTTACTACTACTACTACTAATGCTGTTACTACTACTACTACTAATGCTGTTACTACTACTACTACTAATGCTGTTACTACTACTACTACTAATACTGTTACTACTACTACTAATGCTGCTGCCACTGATGATAAACCATGATGATGCCCTACAAATATCCTAAAAGGTCTGAATGTGTATTTGTGTTGTAGTACTTTAGACCAGCTGAAGGTATTCGTTGGTCGTAGTACAGCTGAATGTAGTTTTTATTTCCATTTGAAATTTTAAAAGGTTTTTATAAATATGAGGCTGAAAGGTTCTCTAACTACAAAATAAAGTACAAACATTCAAAAACAGATAACCTACAACATCATAACAAGGTTTACAAGGTCATTAATGATAGATAGTAATGTGATTGCCTGGGATCTCTTAGAGAACAATGAAGACTTAATCTCATGTTATATATTGGGTTAAATGCAGAGAATGAATTTCATAACGTGTATGTGACAAAGTACCTTTTACCTATATATAAATATTATATTATTATATATGATGAAAAACATTCGGTTCCTTCAGTTAATGAAATTAATGTCATGGTTCTTTCAGTTTAATGGTGTGAATGTTCGGTTCCTTCAGTTTAATGGTGTGAATGGTTCTTTCAGATTAATGGAATTAAATAATTTCATGGTTCCTTCAGTTTAATGGAATTAATGTCATGGTTCTTTCAGTTTAATGGTGTGAATGTTCGGTTCCTTCAGTTTAATGGTGTGAATGGTTCTTTCAGATTAATGGAATTAAATAATTTCATGGTTCCTTCAGTTTAATGGAATTAATGTCATGGTTCCTTCAGTTTAATGGTGTGAATGGTTCTTTCAGTTTGGTTCTTTCAGTTTAATGGACTTAATGGAATTAAATAATTTCATGGTTCCTTCAGTTTAATGGAATTAATGTCATGGTTTTTTCAGTTTAATGGCATCAATGTCATGGTTCTTTCAGTTTAATGGTGTGAATGTTCGGTTCCTTCAGTTTAATGGTGTGAATGGTTCTTTCAGTTTAATGGAATTAATGTCATGGTTCTTTCAGTTTAATGGTGTGAATGTCAT